CTTTCGAGGGATTGAACTCAAGACGAATGGTCACCCAATACATAACTCCTTGTAAGGACTCTTAATCAACCCCCATGTAGGAATCAAAATATGTATGCATGCATGCATGCATGCATGCATGGATGGATGTATGTACGTATGTATGTGTGTGCGTGCGTCTGTATGTGTATGTATGTATGTACGTACGTACGTATGTATGTGTATGTATGTATGTATGTATGTATGTATGTATGTATGTATGTATGTATGTATGTATGTATGTATGTATGTATCTATGTATGTATGTGTGTGATTGTATGTATGTATGTATGTATCATGTATGTATGTATGTATGTATGTATGTATGTATGTATGTATGTATGTATGTATGTATGTATGTATGTATGTATGTATGTATGTATGTATGTATGTATGTATGTATGTATGTATGTATGTATGTATGTATGTGGATGTATGTATGCATGAATGTATGTATGTAGTGCATGAATGCGTGAATGCATGAATGCATGAATGCATGAATGCATGAATGCATGAATGCATGAATGCATGAATGCATGAATGCATGAATGCATGAATGCATGAATGCATGAATGCATGAATGAATGAATGAATGAATGAATGAATGAATGAATGAATGAATGAATGAATGAATGAATGAATGAATGAATGAATGAATGAATGAATGAATGAATGAATGAATGAATGAATGAATGAATGAATGAATGAATGAATGAATGAATGAATGAATGAATGAATTAATGGATGGATGGATGTATGGATGTATGTATGTGTGTATGGATGCATGCATGCATGCCTCTCCAGGCACCGAAAACACCGTCCACTCGGCGCCATAACACCCGCCAACCAGGCGCCAAAAACACCGACCACACCCGCCAGGCGCCAAAAACACCCGCCGACCGCTCACAGCCCCAGGCGCCCAAAACACCGACCAGACACCACAACACCGGGAAGATAAAAACAGACACCCAAAACACCTGCCAGACCCCCAAAACACCCAAACCATCCCTGTCCACAGAAACACCGAAACAGGCGCTAAAAACACCCTACCCGTATGCATGTATGTCACATGCCCACGTGCTTCGCTAGGGAAAGTTGGGCAGCGTCCGTAGCGCCAACGTGAGAACTACTCCCTGTTAAATGCTGAGAAGAGGAGGTACGGGAACATGTAATAGGGACCTCTGTGCAAGAGCAAACTGAACAAAGGAGTCGCAGGTCGTCGAGTTGCGGCGAGCAAAATCAAAAAAGGTCGTCGAAGGCCATCGCCCATTCACAGCAGCTGCTGTTTTTTGGGAAAGCTCAGAAGCTTGGACACAGGCCGTTCAGCTGCGCTATGCCCGCACTGAACATATACATCCCCCCCCCCCCAATACTCCAATGTGAGGGGCGATCATTGACAGGCAACTTCAGGCCCCTCCCCCCCACGTGGAGGTGGTACAACAGGCTTTCCGTCAAGAACTTGTTGGGGTTCGCTCTGAACGGGTCGGTCCCTCAGGCAATGGGCCCAGCATCCCGCTGGAGTCCCAGCCCTTTCTCTGCCTTTGACCCGAAGCGGAACAAAGGCAGGTCCGGGCCAAATCAGCCGCAAAAGCCAAGCCAACAAAGTCAGACGGTACTCCATTGGAGGTCCGGGCGAACTAGGCAGCCAATCTCCAGTGTGGTTGAAGCACCCCCAGACCCCGACTCAAGCTAGACCGCATGTTGCCGTGAAATCCGCAAATCTTTAAGAAAGAGACGGTCCTTGACTCGCCCGCTGGGGGTTGCTCTCTCCCATGTCGTGTGGGCAGTTTCCGTGCTCCGTGGCTTGAGAAACGCACTGTTCGGAGTGTGTGGCCTTGGCCGAAGGCTGAAATCCCTTGAGCCGCTGCCTACAGCTAAGCAAAGACCTGTGAGTGATCTCCTTTTGAGTATTGGACCCTTTGTCGGGTTCCATGTCAATTTGCAGAGCGCCCCTCCCGACTTATATGGCAGGCCTTCCCGTCCAGAGATTGCCAGTCCTGCTCAGCGCTTGCGCAACTGTCTCCAACCATACACCAATGATGCATGAGTGACTGTTCGCGGGTCATGGCGCAAAAACACTGGCAAACGCAAAATACCAACTGCACAAATGCAAAGCGCTCAGTCAAGCAAGCAAGCGAGCCAAGCCAAGCCCGCCCGCCCCCCCCCGCCCGCTCCCCCCCCGCCCCCCCCCCCCGCCCCCGCCCCCCCGCCCCCCCCCGCCCGCCCCCGCCCGCCCGCCCCCGGCACGCCCCGCCCGCCCGCCCGCACGCCCGCCCGCACGCACGCACGCATGCGCACGCATGCGCTTCCGGCCAGAATCGAACACGGCTTTTTGGCGCCAGCTTGTGTCTGACCATGCCATGATTATGCTTGGCTTCCCCCAATGAACCATGAATTTATTTGATCGTCTTCCAAAAATTGGCCCCGCCTGTTGACCGCCCGAGGATGCGGCGTTGATGTCATTGACTCTGAGCAGATCGCTACGGCGCGGAGGTGGCACTGCTTTGGGCGCTGGCTTCGGGATTGAATTGGCAACACGAGCTAAGGGTCTCCGAATAACTTGGGGATTCCGATTTCCAATTAGGGAGTGATGGCAATATGTCCAGGACGTGATGGTGTGTCCATGGTTTCATTGACCAGGGTAAGCCATTCGTAGGAAAGGAGAAATGGAATGACCCCTATAAACCATCCCACTGGTGGTTTCCTTTGCAAGGGGACCAGTCCCCAGGTGCATTCCCTCATTCCCTACCTATCGCACCAGCAAGTGGTCTCACGTTGACCCCCACGCACGCACGCACGCATACGCACGCACGCACGCACGCACGCACGCACGCACGCACGCACGCACGCACGCACGCACGCACGCACGCACGCACGCACGCACGCATGCGCACGCACGCACGCACGCAGGCACGCAGGCACGCACACACACACACGCACACACGCACTCTCTCCCTGACTCACTCACTCACTCACTCACTCACTCACTCACTCACTCACTCACTCACTCACTCACTCGCTCGCTCGCTCGCTCGCTCGCACGCACGCACGCACGCACGCACGCACGCACGCACGCACGCACGCACGCACGCACGCACGCACGCACGCACGCACGCGCGCGCACACACACACACACACCTGTGCCCGCACACTCGACCCCTTTTGCTTTCCGCAATGTGGGCATCACGTGCTTGCGGAAGCCAGGCATCTACAAAATTCATAGCCAGTGGTGCGGAGCCTGGCTCTAACATCTGCAAGCCAAACTCTGCTAGTCTCTGCTAAGCTCTTTCCAGTATGGCATGCTTGTCATAGGCTCCCGTTTCAGCTACGCGGCCCGCTTTCTGAGCGCTCCAAAGCCAGATTCTGGGTATCAATTTCCAACAGCCGCGTGCAATGAGGTTCACAAGCAACGATTGAACACTAAACAGGCTAATGTTGAGCCCATATTCATCAACCCCTGTTTATTAATAGGGGCGAAAGTGATGCTAGGGCCTCCAGTAGAGAGGTTAGAATCAGGGAGCCCTTTTTTCTGTAGTCTGTTTAGGGGAGCCCCCCCAAAACAAGAATCGGTAAAAGGGCACCTAGCTGGGGGACCTAGGATGCTTACATTCAACTACCCGGGTTTTGACAAAGGACGTGGCTCAGGCCATGATGGAACGAGCTCTTTGATCCTTGAGAACCTGCCAGAAGTCCCGCCGCGGCATTCGAAGAATTCCACTCTGGGCCAAAGAGCTATCACCAGCCTCACGTCTTCACCTGAGAGATGCGGTGGCGGCATCACCATGCCTTAGTCACACACGGACACATGCAAGAACAACAGTGCTACCGCATGCAAGTAAGGCAAGAACATGAAGCAAGACACACAAGCAAAATCTGTAAGAACAAGAAGGAGTTGTCTGTTTTGTGGTCAATCCTCCTTGCGCAGGTCGTCGTTTTGGGACCCTCATGATGGTTCTCCACATTCCCCTAAGGCTTGATGGCCATCCCTGCCCTATCAACCTGAGTATACAGGGGGCCTTCGACTGTGGCATCAGGAAAGAGGCCGAGCCACACGGCTTGACTCGACTTGCACCTACGTGCAGCATCAAGACTGGCCCGAATGAGTCATGGGCAGAATCCGTTTGATGAAGGACATGAATCAATTCGCGAGTACCCGGGATGTCGCAAATTCGGAGTTTGCCCCTCCCTCACAATCTAATCATAGACATCATAGACTGGTAGCTCAACCGAACCTATGGCAAATCAACCCAGCCCATCGACGTTGCAAGCAGTAGCTCCAGTCTGGTTGCTCACTCCGAGTACAGCAGCAGGCCTGGCACATCCGAGCGCAAAGCCTATTTCAGCAGCGCTGAAAGCCTGACGCTTGGTTCTACCAACCTTTACAACGCAAACGGTATGGTAGCAAAATACCTGTATTTTGCAGCCACCTACCAAAACTGAACAGAAAAAAGAGCGACAAAAAAGATGCCAACAACAGTGAAGCAACATTGTTGTATATCTCCACCAGGACACCAGCTACTAGAACCTTAAACGGAGAACAGGGGTTTGGGGGCGCTGTTCAGGGATAGCACACTCAAGGAAACTCGAGATCAAAGTTGGAATTGGGCCGTTTTGACGACACCATCCCCGAGAAGGGCATTTTGTGCGACCAAACGAGTGTCAAAAGCCACACCCGCAGGTGCAAAGGACATTGTGCATCTAGTCTCTTGGGGTCTGAAGAAAGACCATTGGTCAGGATAAGGACTGTCCCCCCCCCCTCTCAACGCATCTCAGTTATCTTGCCCAAAGAAAGCGGGCAGCGTGCTTGCACGGGTTTTTTGGGGGTTGGCTGCTAATGAAACTATGAACAACCTGCAGGGACATCGGAACGTGGATCTCCCCCGTGCAACGGGCGGGCCACGCGGGTTTGTGCTTCTCATTGAGGATACCCTTTTTGGCAGTGTTGGTTTAGACAGTTGCTCCAAAGCCACGTCCCACGCTTGGGGGCTGGGACCCGCGGAAGGTTCGAAAGCAAAGCCAAAATGTGAAACTGCGTAGCTGCCTGACTCCATTCGTGCATTTGGGCTTACAATGTGTTTCCAGTGCCCTATCTCGAAGAAATCAGCTCCAGCAAAAGTATATCCAAGCGATCTGCGCCAAATCCCCCCCTTTTGGGTGGGCGTTCGGCTTGAGATTTGGGGCTGGCCTGCGATGAGGATGACGACAATGGCCAGGAACTCCAAGAAGCCCATGCCGATCAGCGTGTACCTGCTTTGAAAAACACCGAGCTCCCCAAATCAGGTTGATGCAAATATGTTTGGACGTTGGGCTAAATATGAAATTGGAAGAGGCCAAGCATGGCCAATTCATACTTAGCAATGTCCCCCGACCTCTGGGATGGGGGGCCCAATCCGCGCGGCAAGCACCCAAAAATGGAATCCGGGAGTGGGAAGGCGCGTCGCGGTTCCTTCCTCCGTCTGGAAAAGTTGGGAGAAATGTGCATCCCCCCCGGAAAAATGGGAAGACAAAACAGCAAAACATGCCCCATCCCCCATCAGGACATGACATGTTATGGCCTTCTTAGGGTTGAGACGGTTCGCCATCTGATAAATGCAGTCTCCTGAACCGGAAAGCCATCTCCCAAACAAACAATGCCCTCAAGGTGGCTACATCTAGGGTGCCCGCACACAAATGTGGGTATGGCTCAAAAAACCGGTACAAAAATGGAACCCTGGTAACTGGAAGCATGGACCAAAACCTGCGTAACCCTAGCTCTTTAATTTTGAGCCACTGCCATGTGTCGCCATCCAAACCCATGAAGCGTTGGTGTATCGCAAACCAGCAGCATTTGCTCAGTCGTTCTAATCGAAATGCTTTCTTCACTTCCAACTCTAGGCATCTTCTCGGGTTTTGACCGAAGCCGCGTACCCCCAACCCCTTGTGTGAGCAGTTGTTGGTTGTCAAACAAACGTGGATGTGTGCTCTTCGAGGGCACTCGTCTCACCGTGGTTTCAAGGGAAACTCAGAAACCAACAGGCCAGCCACCATATGCGGGGTCCAGATTTCCCCTGGGCGCCCACATAGCCTACCCCAAGCCCTGGCTCACGTGAAGAGGTCCTCCTTCATGGACGGGTTCCTTGCCATGCCCACCACCAGCGCCGCAAAGAGCTGGCCGATGCCCTCACATGGCACACGTCGCGTGTTCGGACGAACCACGCAAAACGGGGCAGTGCTGCCCCCGAATCACCAACAAAACAAATGGGGAGCATAACCACGGCACAGGGGAAGGCATGCAAATTCGGGCTGCTGGTTCCCAATTATTTTGGAGTTTCTTGGTGTCATTTCCTTAATCAAGATCCGTATTCCTAGGTTTGGAGCCATGCGAAAAACAAGTCGAAAAGGATGGTTGAAGGCGTTCAATGATGTCGTCCTGGTTTGCGCTTGTTCTTTCGTGATTCGATAGTGAGACATGGCTGTGGCTCAAAAAAAGTGGTACCAAAATGGCACCTTGGTAAATGGAACCAAATTCTAAAACCTACGTAAGCCTGGCTAGCTCCAATTTTTTTGAGCCACCCCCGCATGCCCGGTGAGGCACGCCCTTCAGGGGTTCGCTTAAAAACAACATGTTTTTTGCGGACCCAAAAGCAATCGGGAGCCTTGGGCAAGGGAGATCTGAATATGTTCAATGGCCTTTGAAGGTCCCGGGGGAGCGAGCTTTTCTGACCAAGGGCCTCCGAGTGATTGGCAACACCAAGGCAAACCCTGCACCTGAAGCTGTCTGTTGGCAGAAGGGTGCTCCTTGCAGAAACACGCACATTGTCGAAACCTTCACTCACGGCCCTGGTGCCTGCCCCATTCATGCCCCCCGCCTGCGCGCAGCCTCCCACGGCCACCATGGCAATGGCGCAGCCCAGCACCGACACGCCCGCATGGCGCTTGGAGATCGGAGCGCCTGGAGACACCCTTCGACACCCTTCTTTGTCCTCCAGTAGAGAGGTTACACTGAGGGTACCCTTTTTGCTGTCTTCTAATTTAGTAGTAGGGGAACCCTCCCCAAAAAAATGGTAAAAGGGTACTTCTGGGGGACCTAGCCTTCGACACCCTTCGACCGGACGACAAGCTGAAAATCAAGAACTTGCAAGGAAGAGCCGTCATCAAGACAACTAGGGCAAGATCGCTCAACAATGTTCAAGGCAAAAACCCCAAAAGGCCCGCGCCTAGGCCCATAGTCGGCACCAGGTTCAGCGACGCCTCCGCAGGCCATTGGATGGGTCACCAAAAGGAAACTTTCACTCAACAGTGACCCAGGTGATGTTCAAAACAGCCAAAAAAAATCACAATCTATGAAACCATCTGCAGCAAATTCCAGGAAACTAGCAAAACAAAATCCTGGTTTTGAGGGTATTTGGGCAATTGGCGAATTTTTCCTGAAGAGGCCCGAACCCCTCGTGCCTTCACGTCAGGTGCAGCGCGGCACAGGACAGAAGCACCTGGCGATTTAGC